ATGAGGGAGGGAAGATGCTCGCCCTCCTCCTTTTTGTGCTGTTACTATTTTTGCTGTCATGAACTGTTGCCCTCTGCCATGTGCCACTCTGTCTTGGAGCCAACCGAGTATGGACTGAAACCTCCACAAACTGTGAGCTAAATAAACCTTTCCTTCCTAAATTCTGGGTGTCAGGTATTTTCTCTCAGCAATGAGAGAAAAGTAACCAAGATGTTCTCTCTGTGGCTGTTTCTCACCCAATCACTGTGATAGGATAATGCTGGAAACCCTGAAATGAAGTTGTTCTGCAGTTCTTCTTTGCCTCAGTCTTTAAAAATTACCACCTTCCCCAGTGGCTCCTGACTAAACCTCCTCTAATGTGGCAGGCACTGCACTGGACTTCTCCAATTTTAACCTGTTGTTAATGCGTCTCTTTGAGGGTAGCCTGCTGGCCTAGTCCATCAGTTCTCCTTGGAAGTGCTGGTTCTCTAAGGCAAGAGGTCTTGCCTTCTCTACTGGGCATTGACCTTGTCCACCATCAGATTGTTCAGTTCGTGCCTCTGCTGCCTGTGCTGAGGAGAAACAAAATGTAGAGCGGGCTCAGTGCTGGCAGGTGGACACAGCCAGGGTGCAGAATTCCTGGGCAGGAAGTCATCTGGGAGTGAATGTGTACCTACCAGCTGTCTATAGATGTGGCTACAATAAAATATTTTAAATTAAGGCTTATGTGGTTTTTTTTCTGACATAATGTTATTGCATCCTTAGTAAACTGCAGTACAGTATAAACTTAACTAGTATATACCCTGAGAAACCAAAATATTTGTATGATGTTGTGATGGTATGAGCCAAACCCACAGTACTCTCCAGTATGCCAGCATACCACTTTCATAAGAATGGTAGAAAGTCACAGCAGTTAACAGCATCCATCTGGGTGAATATGCAAGGGAATGAGCATACTCAATTATTGCTGGCAGAACTAAAGGAACTACAAAATTGCATAGGTGTACAAAAATTGAATTCATATACTTTCAAGAAATTACACTATAGCAAAAAAAAAATCACCCATGTACAAAAAAAAATCACCCATGTACAAAATGTTATATACAGATGTTTACTGAAATATACTGGAGTAAAAATAAATCAGAAAAATGATTGAGTAAATGCTGGTACATTTGTATAATGGAAAATTGTGTTAACGCTAAGAAGGATGTTAGATTTGTATCTGTTGACCTGCAAAGAGGTTAGTGAGAAAAACATTACAGCACAAAGTAAGTTATAATACTTAATAGTGTTTGAGGATTTTTAGTGCTTGCTATTTATATGAAAAGAAAAATATGTGTGTGAAAAAATATGAAATTTCATATGGGGAAAGTGTGTTGGTTGGGGGGGATATTTTGCAAGGGGGAACAATATAATACAGGACACATGCAAGATTATTTATAATAATCGCCCAAAGAACAATGTACAAAAGAGTGCAGGAAATCTGTCCACACCCTAAGACCAAGGAATCCAGCTGAGGGCCTATATCCCACACAAACGTCCTGCATGAGGCCCGCTGAGTACCTAGAGCTCGTAACAATGCCTCCCACAAATCCAACTGGAGGCCTGGAGCCCACAACAACGTCTCATGCAGGCCTGTTTCACGGATTTGCACTGGGAAGGCCCAGAGGTCAGTAGTGGAATCTAGGAAGTCTGTGCCAGCGGGTTGAAGGAGCTGTGCTAGCAGGCTGAGGGATCGTCACTGGAACCAGGAAGCAATGCTCAGAAGAACCAGAGCTCCCCTGAAAGGTACCACAGCAATCCTGAGCAACAGAGAGATACCTAGCTCCTCCCATAATCAAGATGGCCATGTTCCTATCGGGGAAGCCAACGCAGCGAGCTTCTCAGGAGACCAGCAGTGCACCATCTTCCCCTCCTGAGCCAGGAAGCAATGCTCAAAGTGAGGACCAGAGCTCCCCCAAAGTGAACCAAAGCCATTCTCAGTGCCAACAAGATCCTGAGCTCTTCAGAGGATGAAAACGGCCAAGTTCATCAGGAAAGCCAGCATGACAAGTTCCTCCAAAAGAACTAACAGCTCCTACAGCCTCTCAGCTCCCAACAGCCTCACTTCTCCTCCTTCAGGTCTGCCTCTTATGCTGCTGGCAGCAGTCCTCAGGTGGGCCTCCCACACCCAGCACCATGCTGACTCAGTTTAGCTGGGGGTTATAAGTTGACCACCAGTTGTCAATCCACTACAGAAAGTAAAGGGATAACTTCCAAATCCCCTCTCAGTAATGTAATGCCAAAGATAGTTTTGTGAGTATGTTAGCGGGGGTAGAGGTTTACAGTAAATAGGACTTTATGACTTTGGGAGCTGCTCTGTTAAGTGTTCTTGGATCAGGAAAACAGAATTACTGAAATATGTTTGCTACTTGGAGTATCATAAAAGCTGAACAGAGGTGTGGTGCACCTGTTAGGTTTTTAGCAAATGTGAATCAATTTTTGAGTTTTTCAAGATATACTTGTCCATTCTTCCTGGTTTCCTCCACTGTGTATATGGTATATAATTTGGGGAGCTAATGTTGAGTTAAAGCATCACATTGTTGGACAAGCCATTTGAAAGCAGGAACATTTTCTTAAATTCTCCCCCTACAAATACATTTGGTGGGAAATACATTTCTGTCCACAGGAAAAAAATACTGGTGGCCAGTTGTGTCCACTCAATGTACAATTAATGACCTATAGCCTAAAACTGTTACAGTATATTGACCCTTGGGTGTGTCCTAAATGTTATTTTTCAACCTTTGGAATCTATTCAGTATAATTTCTGGAATTATATCATAGTTTTTGTAGGCATATTTTGTTTTCAGTTCTATTTTTTTTTTTTTTTTTTTTTTTTTTTTTTTT